AAATAGTTAAAGAAAATGGCTATAGGAAGATTTGTTCCTCTCCTGTAAAATTTTTAAAATGGGACTTAGCAACTTTTCTTTCTAAGCTAGCGAAATGATAATTGCCGGAGTTGGGGGACCTTCTTCTTGATGCGCGAGGAGGAACTAGGAAAACATTCCTTATCAGATTGATTATTTATTATTATTATACCTTAGCTATCGCTTCGCCTGGAATTGCTACCAGGTGGAAACATTGCTAATTCAGCTCTTAAGCTGCCATTGAACATATAAATCATCGAAACTCCTACTTGCAATATTTCCAGAACATCCGGTATGGAAAAAGTAGTAAAAAAATTTGAACTAATTATTTGGGATGAGTGCACGATGGCACATAAAAAATTGCTTGAGGTCCTTGATCCATTGTCGCGGGATTTGCATGGAAACGTTCAACCATTCGGGAATATATTGATATTGCACTCAGGAGATTTTACGCAAACCTTGTCTGAAATTTCTTGATTAACACTAGATAAATGCTTGCCTGAAATAGTCAACATTGTGGCAAGACGAACATACATATATACACTGCAGCCGAGGTATTTTCGCCTTCAAGTACTGGACATTGGGCACGGAAAGCTGCCAGCCAACGAGAGATTAAGACGAATTTTATTGCCTTATAGTTTTTCTAACTAAGGAACATCGAAAGGAGAACTGATCGAAAGAATGGTTCTTAATTAAGAAAATTAATTATAGGCTCAGTGAATGAGCTATTCTTGCTGCGAAGAATAAAGATGTCTATCAACTAAATAAGAGTGGTATTGACAACAGTCGTTGCTTGAGCTGGTCTGCTCTTTTACCAGACTGTCAGGCCACTTGCTCACTCACTGCATTCCAAGTCAGGAAATAACTGTTTAGCTGAGGGAGAGTGGGAGACCAGGTTTAGAGTTGTGGTCGAGCTAGATTAGTTGAGGAGGTAGGGATTACCTTTGCGAGTATTTATGTATGTATCGAGCTCAATGAGCCCGTATGGTTAAAGGTGCACATCAAGTCAGCCACGCACTTCATATGCCTGATATGCGAGAGAGAAAGAGAGAGAGAGAGATATGCGGGCAGGCTGATGAAGCGGTAGCGCAAGAAGTGACCCTTTCACCGTGTATTCATTGGGGGACTCCATTGGAGGAGTCATGCTCTAGCTGCCTTAGGCTGCTGGGCAATGAGCTGGGATTTATCCAGGGATGCATTCGTGCAGAGCCCCAGTGTGGTTTGTAAGCAGTAGCTTAATACCATGCCAAAAATTACTCCGGGAGTGGAGTGTGGGTGATGCTTAAAGCACCGTGTGATAGACAAGCTGGGTTAGCGTAAGTTCAGCGAAGAGATATTTGAGAATTGCATAAAAAATTCATATCCAGTAAAAAACGAGCGAATTACCTTTAAAAAAAGTGCGTCTGTGTGTTCGCTGTTCTTTGTTTAAGCGAAAAATTCATAAGTCGCTTAAACAATAACATATACGTCGATAAACACCGTTGTGGAAGAAGACGAATCAGTTAATTATCCAACGAAATTTTGAACTCGATTGATCTTCCGGGGATGACCCCACATACTAAATTGAAAATAGGTGTGCCAATTATCACGTTGCGGAATATTAATCAGCCAAAACTCCGCAACAGTACGCGACACGCAGTTAAGAAATTTATGAAGAACGTAGTGTAAGTAAAGATTTTTACGTGGCCTTTCAAAGGAGAAGAATTCCCATGATTCCGACCGATAGACCATTTCGATTTAAAAGACTGCAATTCCCAATTCGATTCGCATTCGGAATCACAATCAATAATGCTCAAGGTTATCCTTTGGAAAAGTGTGGTTTAGATTGAGATGCGGATTGGTTCTTAGATGTTGCGTGTTCCCGTGTCGGCGCCAGATATCCTTTATATTAATGCAGAGAATGGAAACACGACAAATATTGTGTGCACACAATTACTTATTACAAAATCAAACTCATATGAAACGTATGCTTTGTTTCGTTAATAATTTATCATCCATGTAACAGGAATATGCCACAGCAAAGCGTGACAGGGTACAGCTAGTTTATATAATAAAAATAAAAATATAAATACTTGTAAATATCATAATAATTCCATGATATGTGCTGAAAAAAATGTAACAATATTAAGAAAATTTATTTCTTCATTAAATATCTAATAATAAATATAAATAAATAAGTAATTATAAAACTTTATTTTATTTCAAATTAAATTTTTTTTGTTCTCATCATCAACATCAGCAGACCTTTCCATTCATATGTGAAAGATTAAAAGATTTCGTATTATTTTTGAATTTGTTAGACATTCGGTGACTCTTTTGAATTTAATAAATTTGTCTTTCAGTGAATATAAACGAGAAAAACGAGTATCTTAATCCTTTTTCGAAACGATGTATTATTAATATATGCTTTCTATATCAAAATATGAGTTTTCATAAAAAGTATGCTTAACAACTTTTCTCACTAAGTCAGCAATATATTTAAGAATGAATGAATAATTCCAGATGAATAAAACATTTAAATATACACATACTNGAGTATCTTAATCCTTTTTCGAAACGATGTATTATTAATATATGCTTTCTATATCAAAATATGAGTTTTCATAAAAAGTATGCTTAACAACTTTTCTCACTAAGTCAGCAATATATTTAAGAATGAATGAATAATTCCAGATGAATAAAACATTTAAATATACACATACTTTTATAAGCATTTTTTTATATGTTTATGTGGGATTCGTTATCGTCCACTTGGCGTTAATATACTTATTAGGCAAACAATGATGATGAAATCAAGATCAAGGCTATTTATAATATTAGCATTTGATTTGAGTCATATTATAAAATTTAAATGGGGTAATAAAAAATAAATATATTCTTTATCAGCAACATTGAGTTCAAGATTATTCCACATTTTAATTGAATAATATTATGAAGTATAAAATAGATTACTAGATAGATATATGTATATTTAAATATGTTCTTTATCAACAGTTTACCTCAATGCTTTTTATATAGAAATTTATAATTTAATTATATAGAACCATAGATTTATTAAAAAACTTCAGCATTTATTTTAATTAATATTATTATTTTAATTAGAGTTATTTATGAAAAAATCGTTTGTCGTTGGAAAAGGTTTTATAAATAATATAATTAATAAGCTTCATATTGAACTGCATTTGCCTAGTTATCAATTTTGTGGACCTGGAACGAAACTTTTAGTAAGAGGAGATCGAGGGCTTAATCTACCAGACACTGCTTGTAGTGAAATATGATATATAATATTTATATGATAAAGATTTAGATAACCGACATATTCAATTCAATTCAATTCAATTCAATCTTTATTTAGTCTATGACTTATAAAAAATCTTACAGACTAGATTACAAAAAAACACCTTAGAATTATATAATAACATACAACAACAGCAGAAACATGTTACATAGTACACTTACTCATATAGGAGCAAATTTAATCAAAATGGCTAATTAAATATAACCCTATTAAGTAAAAAGTTGTACATACATACTTAGTGTATAAGTTTAGGAGTAAATAGATTCAATCATAGATTTGAATAAGGACCTAGAAGTCGAGAACTCAATATTCAACCTTCCTGAGATACAGTTGAATTCCGAAAGAGCTCTAAAAACCGGAGCCAGATAAAAATAATTCGCTTTGACTGGTTCCATTAATTAAGTCATAGACAAACATAAGCGACTGGACAATTCTCCTTCCTTCCAGAGATTTCAAATTAATTAGTTTGCACCTAGCACCATATGAAGGAAGAGGTTCCGAGAAATTAAGCGGCTGAAGAGCAAAGCGAATAAATTTTCGTTGAACACGTTCAATTCTACAAGCGTGAGAACTGTAAATTGGGTTCCAAATTACTGAAGCATACTCTAATTTCGAACGAACAAGTGCATTAAAAAGAGATTTTCTGGTATACGGTTCTTTAAAATCTTTCCCATATCTACGTAAAAACGATAAATTGCTAAACGCCTTTGGAAGTAAAGAGCACACATGGTTCACAAAAGAAAAAGCCGAGTCAAAGGCAACACCCAAATCCACGAAATCATTAACTTTGGTAAGCTGGTGATTTGAGATGGAAAAATTTGAAAGAACCGTATTATGAGTTTTTGAAAACGTCATGTGGAGGCATTTCTTTATATTAAGTTCCAACTTATTGCGACAACTCCAGTCAACCAGATTGTTCAAATTCCATTGCAAGTATACAATATCAGACACACAGGCGATTTTCCGAAAAAGTTTCAGATCATGAGCATAAAGTAAAAAGCTAGAGTATTTAAAACATGAGCCAATATCATTAATAAATAGAACGAACAAAAGAGGACCAAGGATACTACCCTGCGGTACTCCCGAGGTGGCGACAAATGACTTCGATTTGTGATGTTCAATTTCCACAAATGGAGTTCTATTCGAGAGATAAGATTTTAAAAAAGACAGAAAAATAGAATGAAAGCCAAGACACTTAAGTTTATACAGCAAAATAGAATGAGCCACTTTATCAAATGCCTTCGAGAAATCCGTGTAGATAGAGTCAACCTGATACCCACATTTAAAAGCCGATACGCAGTACTCAGAAAATAGCGCTAAATTTGTAACCGTAGAACGACAAAACCATGCTGGTGAGGTGGCAGGATTCGTTTGGAAAAAAAGGACAACTTCTCGTAAATGACTCTCTCAAAGAGCTTAGATCTGACCGTTAATTTAGAAATGGGTCTATAATTTGAAACATCATTCCTGCTACCCGATTTAAAAACTGGTGTGATGGAAGCAACTTTCCACCGATGGATAAACACTCCAGAGGAAAGGGAGAGGTTATAGATTAAGCACAGTGGGACACAAACAGTGGAACTACAACATTTTAGGAAATATTCACAAATACCATCATTATCACACTTAAAAGAGGATTTTAGAGAGGAAATACCATTAATAACAGCTGTTTCAGTAATGGACAAAGACCCTAAGGACTGGGGCAGACTAGGACAGGGGAGGGTGTTGACAAAGTCATCATCAAGATCAAGATTAAATTTGAAAAATTCAGCAAACAGTTCCACCGAATCATTAAGAGAATGAGAGGACCTACCATTAAAGTACATGCATGAAGGAATGTTTGAAGAACCCCTTTTATAACGAATGAATCTCCGGAATGCCTTGGGATGTTCGTTTAATTCAAGTTCAAATCTGCGGATATATTGGTTATACAAAAACTTATCGAGAACATTAAATTGCTTCATATAATACACATATTTATCTTTAAGGCCAGTATCATACTCTCCAGCTTTAAACATTTTATAGTATTTATTTCTTTGGTTTTTCAACTTTTTAAGAGGTTTATTGTACCAAGGTAATTTATGGATTCGGGAAGAAAGATGACAAAGCTTGCGAGAGAATAAAACAGTCATTTCGTGTAGAAAAGCCTCAAAACACACACTAACATCGTCCGAACACAGGATAGCACCCCAATCTATAGCCCTGTTCGCGTACGCATTATCCAGTAAATCCAGTACTAATTTTACTGGTTTTTTACTGGATGTCGTTTTCGTACGCAAAATCTTGCAAGAAACTAGCAAAAGAGGGGAAATTGAGAGCGCAGAAATGACAGCTGAACTTGCACGTTTTACTGGATTTTTACTGGATAAATTTTTACTAGCAACTATTTGCTAGTAAGAAAAACAGCTGATGGCATGATGCTTAATGTAATTCACATTAACAAAATAATTGTTTGTGGTGCCTTTAGAGTTGCAATTGACAAAATAAACCTATTTAAATATATAATAAGATGGCAAATATTAGTTTTCGAAGAAAAATGCATCGGAGATTAACAAGTTAATAAGCGGTTCATAAAACTAGCAACTTCTTGCTGGTTTTGCGTTTTCGTACTTTCTTGTGTATTTCACTCAATGGGAGTAAATATTGGCTTACTCTCCGAAATTTGGTTACTGGCAAGTTACTAGATATTTTTTGCTGGAGTATACGAAAACACAACTTATATCAGAAATAGCCATATTCAATTCGTGGTAATTCGCAGACCGGAAGTTGAAAGAAGATGGCCTATTACTATCAATTACAACGGCGTCATAATATTCCAAAGATACGATTAGAGTAACATGATGCTTATCAGTTTTACTAATCGGAAAGTCAGATTCAGTTAGATTACATATTGAGTTCTCATTTACAAAAACTAGATCTAGTATTCTTTGCAGCTTATTAAAAGTAAAATTAACTTGGATAAGATTCAAGCTAAATAAATTATCTAGAAGACAAATCTCGTGAGCTCTATTAATATTAGCAGGGGTTAAAACACCGTTCCCTTGCAGATCTGACCATATTATACCCTTAAGGTGGCCTGTTTTCACGGCATCTCTATCCTTGCGGTATACTTGAAATAAGTCCGAATCGAAAAACTTCTCATTAAAGAAATTATTATTTAGCCAGGTTTCAACGAAAAACATCAAATTCCCCTCGAGACGTTTGCAAATAAGTTTCCTTTGCTTTAGTACGCATTCCAGACATGTTTTGGAAGTAAAGTTTAAGGCCAGTGCTTTTTTGCAAGTCTAAGGCTGCTTGCTGGGAAGACCCTCTTTTTGAAAAAATTTAAAAGACCGGACTTTAACATCCGCAGGCCAGAGCGTCGGGTTGAAAATGGCATCCAACAAAGATGCAGCAACGCCCAGTTTAAAATTAACCTTTTTTAAGACACTAGCATCTACATCTTTTTTACTAGTTTATAACAAGCCAGCTGATTACGGTCTATTTTGGCGTTTTTAGCAACATATTCAATAATATTTTCTTCAATGACTGAAGGTTTGAATGACGCAATGTCAACCCATTTTTTTATAGCAACAACCTCCAAGTCTTTGCTTTGGTTGCGGCCGATCACTAATTCATTAGACTTTTTTTTGTTTTTTGGGTCTTTTGTTTTGCACAGTTGTCCACTGTGCATCAGGCAGCGTATGAGCAGCACCCGAAGATAACGAAGAGATGGGCGGCAAAGCAACAACAATATTAGACAAAGCAGTGCTAGCGTTAGCCGAGGCGGCGGCAGCAGTGGCAGCATGGGTACGGGAGCTCAAAGAAGAATTAAAAACAACTGGTGTAGTGCATGTTTGATCAGCAGTAACAGCTGGTAAGGCAGGTGAAGCGCAAGAAGATAACGAAGGGTTGGCCGGCAAGGCAGCAATAATATTAGGAGACGCGCCGTTGGCATTAGAGTAGTAGGAGGCCACAGCAGAAGATGTAGAAGAAGAACAGAAATCCGAAGTTATAGCGCAATTAGATTTCTGCTTTACGCTTGAAACAAAATTGTTGTTAGCTGAGAAGCACATATTATCGTGGAGAGATTTAATTTCATTAGTTAGCGATTTAATAGCCGAAGGCGTCTCGTCACGACGAATTTTTTCTCGGGAAGAATGAAGTTCAGATTGTAGAGACTCCGTTTTCATTATTAGCTGATTTTTGTCTTCAAGCAGGGCACTAATCGAAGATAAAATATGCGCATTTTCCTCTCTAAGAGCGACAAGCTCCTTTAGAATAGATTCCATATTAATTTGCTGCTTCAATGCACTTGCATTTTCTTTAGGTACGATTTCCTTCTCCATTGGTTGTGATGTCGAAACTAATTTGGGCATATTTTGCTGCTGACAGAGATTAGTATAGTTGTTACTTGGTTTGTTTGTGACATCCGAATTGAACAAACAACTAGCAACAACACTGTTCTCAGGAACGAAGGTCAGTGGAGGCGAACGGAGCGAGTCACGACGATCAGCAGCACAACCATTACAAAGAAATGGCTTATTGGCTTTAACTAAGAACTCAGCATCAGCACATCAAAATGTTTACGCAGCTTAAGTGAAAAAAGCCATTACACTTAGCACACTGAGTTTGCTTTTTAGATTGCGAGCGTTCTACTCTTTGACCACACACACATGGCATAATGAACTCTTTTGTTGTATAACAATATTATTTTGTTTTGAAAAGTGTCACTGTCACATTTGACTAGGCATATATGCAAATAGCCACTTCAGTTAATAAAGATTTAATAATACGGTATGCAGATACCAAAAGAGCACAGAGCGAAGAAAAACACGTCCGCACAGCACAACGTTCGTATGCCATATTGCTCATAAAAATTAATTGAGGAGGCTTGGGAAAGAGTTAAAGCGAAGGATAGCAATCTTAATGAGAAAACAAATGATTGGTTAGTTATAAATATAATGAAGCCAAAAACGAAATTCGGTATGGGGAACGCTTATAGTAAAACTAAAAAAGTGGGAGGAAAAACTGGTTATCAGCTCTTCAATCATGCCTTAAAAAGTGCTAAACAAAATTTCAATAAAGTGTTAACTTAAAAGACGCCATAAAAATTTCACGAAAGGTTGTAAATAATATTTTCAGAGGAAAAAATCTATAATAAAAACACCACGTGTAATATCTTTATCTAAATCTGGAGGATTTCTCCCATTAGCGCCTTTATTCGTAGCATTAGGAGCACTTGGAAGTCTATCTGGCGGTACAGCAGGAATTATTAAAACAATCAATGCTATAAAAACTGAAAAGGAGCAGTTATTGGAGGCGAAACGTCATAATCGGGCAGGTTCTGGAATTCACTTCCGAGTGAATTTCAACCCCTGCCAACTTGAATTCCAAGCGAACTTGACTCAAATTCACTCGGAAGTGAATTGCAGAACCTGCCGGAATAATACAATGGAAGCTATTTCAATGGGAAAAGACATATTCTTAAAGCCTTATAAAAAGGGATTCGGATTATATTTAAAACCGTATCAAAAAAACTCTTAATAAAACTACCTAGAAGACCTCTTACTGATGTAGACTTGAAGAAGTATTCAATATTTATTCCAAATTTTAGAGGGGTGTTCATGTACCCCATTTAACGTAAATCATTTACGAGAGAATGTGGAATAATAAATTTGGATAGTTCAAATACTGGAAAACGATAATGAGATTGATTATTTCGATACCTTTGGAAACTTATACTCCTAAACAATTAATAAAGTATTTAGGAAAAAAAAATTAAATATAACTATAATAAACAGAAAAGCTATAATTCATATATTTGCGAACATTTATGTTTAAAATTCTTATCATCAAAAATAATTAAGTAATTATAAAACTTTCTTTTATTTCAAATTAAGTTTTATTTGTTCTCATCATCAGCATCATCGGACCTTTCCATTCATATATATATATATATTACATATTAAATACTTAACAGTTACCTATGTGAGCATTCTTAATACACTTTTATAGCGGTGGAGCATCTGTATTTCTAACGTATAATTTCTAACGCATATTTCTAACTGTAGAGCATATATGTATATATGTTTACGAATTTCTATCGTATATAAACATACTTAGTATGAATTTCTAACGTTGGAACATATATGGATTTAGGAAAAAATATTAACTATAACTATAATAAACAGCAAAGCTATAATTCATACAACTGCGGACATTATTTTTTAAAATTCTTATTATCAAAAATAAATAAGTATTTATAAAGCTTTCTTTTATTTCAAATTAAATTTTATTAATTATCATCAACACACCAGACCTTTCCATTCATATATATATATATATATATATATATTAAATACTTGATAATTAACTATGTGAACATTATTAACACACGTACGTATGTACGTTTGTATATGGATGTGTGTATGTGAATACGTATTCCGACATATAAACCACCTTGTGTCGGATTTCCATCAGCGGTACACCCTGTGATCTGTTCTGGTTCTGGACTCGGATTTGTCATCAGCGACATCTTGCGGCTTTTACCTGGATTCTGAACTTGGATGTCGATCAGCGGCATCTTTTTACGGAGCAGCAAAGCTTGTGGCGGAGCAGCAGCAAACCTTATAGCGGTTCTGGAACCGGAGCAGCAGCGCTATATCTATACTACTGATTCAAGGCATATGGATATGCAGATGACCTAGTCATCTACGTTGTCGGCTGGCATGAGGACACAATTTGTTCCAGATAGCAAGCTGCGCTCAGACTAACGGAAGACTGGTGTGCTTCAAAGGGATTGTAAATAAACCCGCAGAAGTCCACCGTTGTCCCATTTACCAAAAGAAGGAAAGTCAACGTGACTGAACCCACCTTGGCAGGGACAGAAATTGAGTTATCAGAAGAGGCGAAGTATCTAGGGGTAACTCTGGACAAAAGGCTCAATTGGAACTAACATCTCCTTAATGTTACCAACAAGGCTACAAGGGCGTTTTTTGCCTGGCAGAGACTTCATGGTAAAGCTTGGGGAATATCCGCCAAACTAACGTATTGGTCTTTTAGTACGGCCGTGAAACCTGTTGTCACATATGCGGCACTGGCCTGATGGCCAAAAGCAAAGCAAGCTAGTGCGGGTGCCACCTTGAGCAAGCTACACCGCTTGATCTGTGTGACCATCACAGGAGCTATGCGCACCTGTCCAACGGATGCCCACGGTATAATTACAGGCATTCCTTCTCTATCTATTCTGATAGAAAAGGAGGCCTGCTGGAGTGCCCTACGGCTACCCAATGTAATCAGTATGAAGAGCGGGGATCTTTGGGGTTACTTGTAAGTTCTCAAGCCTTTTCTGGATGGTCCCGCTATCAAGCTCACGGATATCATACTACCGAAATTATCCATTGACAAGCCCTACAAGGTCAGAATTCCTGAAAGGGACTGCTGTAAAGCGATAATATCTATGACTGTCCCAAGTATGGTATAACGATGGATCAAGGATGGAAGACGGGATTACTGGGGCAGGCGTGCTTGGACCAAGGTTCCAGAAAAGTCTGCCTGTGGGCTCATACCCAACCATTTTCCAGGCGGATGTCTTTGCAACCTGTGTTCGAGAATGTCTTCGGAGAAGGACAAACGGGGCCAGAATAAATATTATTTATGTCGGATAGTCAGGCAGCACTAAGGGCCTTAGACTCATTTTGAACGACATCAAGGCTTGTGGACAGTTGTAAAACCTTTCTGAATAGCCTAGGATCCCATAATGGAGTTGCGCTGTGGTGGGTCCCCGAGCATAAAGGGTTTGAAGGCAACGGAAGGGCTGACTATCTCCCAAAACGTGGAGCCCAAACGCGAATGCATGGTCCTGAGCCTTTCTGTGGTACATCTAAAGAATACACTGCAGAACTGCTTAGGAGTTGAGAGGAATCTCAGATTGCTGCCCGCTGGCGTAAGTCAAAGGGAATGAGACAATCAAAGAAATTCATAACTCCTTCCAGGAGGAACTCAGAAAGGCTCCGTGACCTCAGCCGGGAGGGTCTTAGAACTCTTACAGGCTACCTGACGGGACACTGCAAGTTAAGGTACCATCTGAACAAAATGGGGCTTTTTGCAGAGACGGACTGCAGGTTCTGTGGGCTGGCGGGGGAAACCTCAGAGCACATTCTGTGTGACTGCCCGCGTATCATGAATAGCAGACGATTATCTTCTCCATCCAAGATTTGGAACACGGCACCCTCCAATGTGCTTAATTTCTTGATTAGCCTAAGGTTGTACTGACTACAATTAGGGTTTAGCACAATAAATCTTTTAGGTCGCAGCGCGAGTATACCCGACGTACTACTAATAATAATAACACTCCAATTATAAATTAACTCCACGCCTCCATATTTCTAAAACTTACACTTACACTGGCAATCAAAAGTGAGTGCATGGGGTTTTTTGTTTAATATTTGCAATGTTTTTCTAATTAATATTTTTTTTGTTATTTTATAATCCTTATATTTTATGAAGATATGGTTTTAAGTAAAACCACATAAGTCCAACTTTCCAACTTTATACAGAACTTAGAAAAATTCAACGAATTTTCGTCTAAATTTTGACCTTTTTAATCTGAATTTTTAGAGAAATTTTGAGTACACAGATAGATGCGGTTTTTAATCCTAGTGAAATAAGATCAAGTTTTAAGCGGCTAAAAAATCGCGTTGATTTTAAATGAACTTTGTTTCCCGACGGATTTTGAGGTTTTATGCATATAATAAGTGCAATTTGTAAAATAGAGCGTTAGTTTTTTAAATTTTGTTTGCAAACGGTCATGCGCATTTTATTCTACAAGAAATTCCCTTTTATATGGTAAAAAGTGCAAAAAGCCGGCAGCAATAAAAAATCATTATAAGTAAACGCGATTTTTCAGCCGCTTAAAACTTGCACTTGTTTTTTTTTCGAATTAAAAAACCGATCTATCTGCGTACTCAAAATTTTTCTAAAACCTCAGATTAAACAGGTCAAAAAGTAGACGAAAATTCGTTGAACTTTTCTAAGTTCTGTAAAAAAGTTTAAAAGTTTGACTTGTATAGTTTTGATTAAAGCATGAACCATATTTTTATAAAAAAAATAACAACAAAAAATTTTACTTGGAAAACATTGCAAATATTAAACAAAAAACACCGTGCACTCACTTTTGATTGACAGTGTATATTAAAAGTGGGCGTCTTTATTGTCAGATTTAGCACATTTTCCACACCGTCCATTCTTGGTCTTCTATTTACATATTCCCTAAGTTTTATTGCGGTACGTTAATTAATACTCCAGTTATTAATTAATTCCGCACCTCCATACAAAATTTCCCACTGTGTGCCAGGGCCGAGGTATTTTGAAAAATAATATTTATGCTCTGATTCAGAGTGTCCTGATTTGGCGATTTTATTTTTTGATATTTGTGCGTAAAAATTTAGGAAATCGCCATTGGCGATTTCTTCCCTTCAAATAATTTTTTTTCCAATTATAAAAATATACAAAACTTAGTTTTCCACACAATTTTTTTTTAGAAGCATATTAAATGACTGTCAAAAATGTTTAATCACCCGAATCGAAGAACTTTTGAAACGATTACCTAGTTAATTAAATACCTTAAAAAAACCTTTGATTTTGTCACCAGAAAAGTGTGCGCATCATAAGAGGACGAGTTTCAATTCACTTTTTAACTTTGAAGGAAAGAAAAGCAGAGGAAACTGAATATTTAAATAATTTAACTTTCCCATGGAATAACTTTTCTCAGAACCATTCAATCCGACTCTGAAGAATTTTGTATAATTGCTTACGGAGTGAAAACTGCAACAGGCAATAAAATGTTTGGAAATGTAAGTAAATTCATATTATTATCCTTGCCACACTCACATGCTTTGTTGAGCCCGTTTTTCCGTAATGAATTTAACAAAAACTAAGATTCGAAATAGGATGAGGTTGGAAAGCCTTAATTCAATAATTCGAATGAAGTGTTATATGAAGACTAACAGTTTCTGCTGCAAAACGTTTCCAATATCAAACAGTATATTATCAAGGTTGAATAGCTCAATACATATATGACAACAACAGAAATGTAAATCATTCAGACACTATAGGTGATTTTGAAGAAATTGGTGAAATAGCTGATCTCGCCTTATTATAGGTGTTTATTTAATTATTAGCGCCGAGCTTTTAAAGGCGGATTGTGCGATTAATCAATTAATATGAGTTATAATAAATTTAGTAATTGCGCAATCCTATTGCAAAATGTGTTGAAACAAATATTTTTAAAAAGTATGCGTATTTTTAAAGAAAATTGTTTGTACATCACTACTATATAAGTGATTTGTGTTATTTGTTATTACCCTGGAGGCATTATATTCGTTTTTGGTTTTAAAAACTATATTATAACAAGATCTCATTTTTAAAATAAAAGTTTTGTTAAATTGATTTCATGATTTTTATAAAAAAAAAATTGGCGATTTTTGGCGATTTTTTTTCAAAAATTGCGCTTTTTACAACGCTTTTATCAACTTGCAATGTTGTGTTCCAGAAACTTTCAATGTTGTGTTCCGACACCAAAGCAAAGCTTTGAAAAGCTCCTATAAAAAAGCATAGTGAATAGGGCGAGGTAGATGACATCTAGATGTCGCCCTATGTACTACGTTTGCTACACCGGAAATAGACGACACGCCATTTCTTTAAATAAAATTAGTTTGACTATTGTCAACTAAATCGAATGCTTTGTAAGTGAAGTGACTTGTGGACCACTTGAGGTATAGGTGGACCAGTTGGTAACCACTTTGGGACCAGTTGGTAAATAGTTCAATTCAAGTGTATTACATGCGCTCCACGTTTTTCATTTTCAATTTCATAGATTGTTTATAATGACTTTTGCTAAAATTTCAAAATCAAAAGTTATCAAAACAAATTCTATGGGACTGAGAAGTATTATTTTCTACTTTTTAGTCCATTTATAAAAGCGTTGTATATTAAAAAGTTTTTTTTATATTATTTATTTTAACATTCTGGATACCTTGCTCTGATTTGTTTCACATTTGCCATGTTTAGGTGAAACGTAGTAAGACATAGATTTGGAAAAAAATTTAACCGCTGCACTCAAGTCAAAAGTGACAATTTAGCTGGATAAAAATTGAAAGTTGCGATGATACTTAATATATATAAAAATACGTATGAAGGTTCCTCAATGTTTGACTAACTAAGGGACAGTATTAGTTATGAATAAGAAAGACAAAAATATGTAAATGCATATCGCATATGCAAATGCATTTTATGACACAAAATGCATATTTTGGCGAAAAAGCAAAATTGCAATGACTCTTCAATTTTCTTACTTTGCAATGTCTGGCGCATGTATTTGCCGTATTTTGTCAGTTGTTAAATTGTTTCAACTTTTGTGTGTAAAATGATTCGTCATCGTAACTGTTTAATGCAAGCTAGAGGCTGTATTGGACACGTGGTGCAATGATCACGAGAATTGTGATTCAAACGCCGATGCAATCGATGTGATTGTTAATCCACCGCCAGTGGAAGAAGTCAGCGATGAAAAGGATATAAATGAAAATATTATAGACATAAATGAAAATAATAACTTTGCATTGCCTTCTTCTTCTTCTAATTTGGCTCTGTAACCGCCTAAGCGATTTTGGCCGAGTTCAACAAAGCACGCCAGTCGTTTCTCTTCGATGCCAACTGACGCCGATTGGAAATGCCAAGTGAAGCCAAGTCCTTATCCACCTGGTCTTTCCATCGCTGTGGGGGCCTCCCTCTTCCTCTGCTACTACCAGCGGGTTCCGAGTTGAATGCTTTCAGAGCTGGAGCGTCGGTGTCCATTCGAACGATTTGGTCAAGCCACCGGAGCCGCTCTGTATTTTAATTCGCTGCACCATGTCGTTGTAAGGCTCATACAGCTCATCGTTCCATCGTTTGCCGTACTCGCCGTCACCAAAGCGTAGAGGCCCGTAAATCTTTCGCTAATTTTTTCTCTCGAATACTCCAAGAGCCTCCTCATCGGATGTTGTCATTGTTTAAGTTTCTGCGCCATATACCAACACGGGCATGATGAGTGACTTATAGACTGTGGTTTTCGTACGTCGAGAGGCGACTTTACACCTAGTGATGGAACGATACGAGTACCGAGTACAGAATATCGATACTTTTCATGAGTACTGAGTAGTATCGAGAACTCGATACTTTTTCACAAGTACTGAGTAAATAACGCGAATGCCGAAAAGTATCGACGAGTTAAGAACTTTTTTAAGTAATTTTTTTTTTTAAATTACCCAATAAATATTGTGCCGAACGTTCGAATATTAACTTCAATATCCAATATGAATGTTATGAAAATGAACATAAAGCTCATGTACTTCAATACTTTCATAACTCAAAAAACTGAAAACCCGAGAAACACGCCTTTAAAGTTTTTAATTCAAATAACGTCACTCTCATGCCAGAAGCATGAATGTGCAAATTTGTCAGTTTTGAGTTATTGGGTTGACTTGGTTAGTCTTTGGATTTTCTATGTTATACCCAAACCCAGAATACCATGCGTACACGGAAAGTAAATATTTTAGCATTTCAATTACATAAATGTAGAGCTAAGTGTCGCAAAAACACATTCAAACTTGATTTCCCAAAATTTTCAATTTTACACGTTCATGTTTTCATGTGGCATACGGGCGACGATGTATATACTCCCACTCTAATAATTAATACACATTTTGTTCTAGTCAGCTCCTGGTAATTGACACAGTTATGCAATTTTTACACAACCTAGAAGAAAATGCAG